GAAAACCAGCATCTGATTAGGTTTTAACACAACCAGGAATTGTATACCTGATTTTATATATATATATATATATACACACACACACATATATAAATATACATATATATATATTTGTATAACCTGGATAGCAGAGCCTTCTCATGCATCTTAGGCACACTGTGACTACTTCTCTGCTGACAGAGAAAACAGGATGGTTTTTGTGTTAGTTTATTCCCTTATTTTGCCCAGGACCAACCCATATAGCTCCTAAAGAAAAGAGCTGTAGAAACAGGCAGCCTGAAAGAGCAGAGATAAGGTCCTGTACTCAGTCACTTGGTCCACTGGCCTTGAGGCTGATCTCCAGCAACGTAGATATGGCCAATAMAATTAAGTGACACCAGTCAAGATATAAATTGCACTTTAGTTCTGTCCCACCTTGATCTTTAGCTTGATATCTCAGTTATCCACCCAATAACTTTTGAAATTATTCATTAGCTTGATAACTATGGGTTTACTGCTGTTATTGCCTCTTGTTGATCAGAGACTGCTCTGCAAGATGACCAGTCAGTCATGCACAAGACTAACTGGCCCATGCTGTTAACTACCATCAGTTTCCCTCTCCTGTCCATACAGGAAGCAAAGAAAAAAACAAATAAATCTTACCCAGTTGCAGCAATGTATCTTTAGCAATGTTACAGAAAATGCTGCCCTAGGGGACTTACAAAATAAATAATATAGCTTAAGAAAGAACATGCACACTTAATGGTCTAACAGTGCCAAAGACTGTATCAGAACTGGAATGTTAAGTAGGACAAGGATCTTGAAGTGATTGGCATTTAAGAAAATGAAAATTATTAAAAATAAAATGAGTCTTGAAGATCGTTAAGGAGGGTGGAACAGCAAACTCTGGTGACAATGCCCAACAGCTGACRGAACAATCCCTGCTCCTGAAGACGGGCCATGCAGAGCAGCTGGCATCGCTGCTGCTATAAAGCTAACACTACCTGACAGCACATTAGTCTTAGAGAAAAACACCTGRAATCCAAGCCAGGGGAAAGCTAACAGTTAATCAGCGCAGAGCACTAAGGGGACRGTTCTCTTTTTATTCAGGAGTAAAGACAAACAGGAAGAAGGAAACGCATGAGATGTTAGGTGCGAAAGACAACAGCATAAGGGGTGATGGCTGAGGACAGAGAACACAGTGCTGAAGGACGGAAAGTCAGAACAGAGCTTGACTTGGGTGAGGGAAGAGCTTGGCTAGAATCCCATCAAGTTTCACACAGCTGGGATTTTCCAGGAATCCCAGAATCGTTCAGGTTGGAAGGGACCTCTAGAGATCATCTAGCCCAACCCCCTGCTCCAGCAGGGACACCCWGAGCACGGGRCACAGGGTGGTGTCCAGGTGGGTTTTGCAGACCTCCAGAGAAGGAGACTCCACAACCTCCCCGGGCAGCCTGTTCCAGGGCTCTGTCACCCTCACAGCAGAGAGGTTCCTCATCACATGGAGATGRAACTTCCTTTGCTTCAGTTTATACCCATGAGTAATAAAGGATTTTTTTTAATGAAGACTGCAAMAAGATTTTGCTCCAAGAGTTTTTTCATAAAAACAACCTAGTTTTTGCAAATGTTTAAGATTTTTTTTTTTACATCATCTATACTTTAGAACATTGTGGCTATAAGTTCACCAGAAAACCCCTCTTTASTGGGCTTCCTGTAGACCTTAGTTATACCAGGCATCAAGCCGCTCTCAGTGCTGGAATACCTGGGGAATTAGGCATTGCAGATGCAAACTGTAGAAGACTCCTTGGGAACAAGAGGTGACTTGCAGTGCTTCCGAGGCAGCAAGCAAGGAACCCTGTTTTCCTCCCTTCAACTTACTGACATAACCCTGCCAGAGYCTCAGGCTCCCACCTTGGGACGGCCACCTCAAGTACTACAGAGCAACAGCCAGCTGGCAGAGGGACCAAATGTTTCCAATATTACCAGTTTATTTTCAGCTATTKATTCTAATTCATTTTCACACAAGCTTCTGGGAGAGGAAACTGTTTATACCTACTTCCCTTTGCCATCAGCTTGTGGCACCAGGAGTAGCAAACAAGGAGAAGCCATTTTACAATGTTGGAAGAGAAATATTAAGTGCAATTTTTTGATGTTGTACTACAAAAAAGGCTAGCACTAAGTAGTTCTAGAAACATTCTGAAAAATTCATCCAATTACATTAATCTAAGACTACTCAAAATGACTAAAGGTTTGTGCTACATGCTGTGAAATTCCATTCACAAATGGAGGTCTTTCAAACACAGCTTTAAGTCCTATAAAGAATTGCATTAGTGACTATTAACTGAGGRGGGCTCTTTCCCTGCCAAGCTACTTAATGCATGAGGCTTCCCACTCGTCCTCCGCCACCCCTCACACCCTTTCACTCTTTACCTTATTCTGTCTCCCACAYCCATCAAATCACTCTTATCAGTCATTCAGTTCACTAATGCAGCTGAAAACTAACCCAGCTGAAGAAAAACAGAGTGTAGTAACCTATTTGGGATTAATGAATTCATCGAATTTGCACCACAGGAGCCACAACAAGGTCGGAGAGCACCACAAAGGATGAGTACAGTTACGTGGCTCTGGGAAAAGCAAGGCGAGGTGGTTCTCCCTCTTTAGGGGCAGCAAGACTGCAGAGAAGATCTGCTATTCACGAAATCTGGATTAAAGTACTCAATACATTGAACATGGCCAAGAGAAATTTAAGGAAATTAAACACTGTAAACAAGACAGCATGAAAATTTATGCAGATATTATACAATGCATTATGACACTGACTGGTTGAAAAAGTTCTCACTCTACCTTGGATTTGTAACAAGATTTAACCRTTTATGAGGCCAAAATACAAAACAGAGCAAATTATTTTTAGATACACATGTATTTATGTATACACACACACACATACTTTTTTGAAAGAAATAGAGAACTTTCTTCTAACTCACAATTCACAAGGGAGTGAATTACAATGACGGTAAGAATAACCACGTAGTAGGCTTGATTATTGCAAAAARTCATCCAGCAATGCCCCTGCTTTGATTTAATGACAGCACTGTTTAAGCTGCTATAACTCGAGCCAGATCTGAGAGACTGTCATCACCCTGGTGGCTCATTGTGTGCCCATTCCCTCGTGGTGCTGGTATTTACACATCTGCACACTAAACTGGAAAGGCACCTAGATACAAAGGATAAATAGCTGGGAGGAAAGAGGGGAGAGGGAAGAAAAGAGGGCAGGGAGGGGAAAGCTGGAGAGGGGAGATGTTTTTTCTAGTTGTATTCATTTCCCAGTCCAGCTCACTGCTCACACAAAGAGCTGCCACTTCTGTTTGTGCCAGTCCAATGTAGAAAGGTTCATCTAGACACGACAACTGCAAAGTCCAGCCTGCCACAGAGGAAGTTACTCATCTACTCCTCAGCACACAGCCCTGCAGTGCTCCTTAGCACTCCTCAGCACACAGCCCTGCAGGGTCCCGGTCCTGATTCCAGGCACAGTTTGAGGGGGTCCCAGCCGTGCCAGGCCTGCTGCCACCCTCCTCCTTCCCCTGCCCTTCGCTATGGGCCGAGCGCTCTGTGGCACCAGTGCTGGTGCAGAGCTGAACAATATAAACYCAAGGGTTGGGTTTTTTTCCCCTTTTTTCCTCATACTTTGTTTGCAGCCAGCTCGGTATCCAGGGCACTGCTCACTCTTCCAAGCACCGGTACCAACCCTGCAGAAACGTGCAGGCAGGGACAAAGGATGCACTCACCCGACCTGCGGCAATTCCAAATTAGTCAGCTCCCAGGATATGTTTACACAGATGGATTCAAACGGATGCGAGCTCCTCTACCTACACCCTGATTTGCTGGAACACAGCCACCTGCAGCTGCGGTGATATAACCAWGTCTAACAGCACACTCACACACCTCACCTGTAGGATTCCCTCAGACTACTTAACCTCATGCCTAAGGTTAAACCCTTAACCTTAAACTATTTTTCAGTCTAGTTTCTTCGATATTCACTGCAGTCTTGCCTGGTAGCCCACTGATTACCAAGATTTTTATTTCCCTGGTGATAGCAACTTTATTCTTCCTCCTGCTAAAGGCACTAGCATTTAGGAAGGCTTTTTGTTCCTGTTTCATGGGTACTGAGGAATCAGGACAATGAGGTGACCGGAGAGTCCCCCCGCTCCCCCCCAAGCAGATTCACCCTCCGCTGGCAGCGTCAGGCCCTCCACAGCCCTGGTCTCTTCCCACGCTGGGAGCCAGTCACACTCCTGCACTCACACTCCTCACACCTCTTCCTCGGCCACCAGGATCCCCTCCAGAGCATCAAAGCTCCTCCCCAAGCCAAGTTCTCCCTCCCAACACCAACAACACCCACCCCCAGCAGGACCAGGCTCCCCCCAAACACCTGCTTTGCGCTGCTCCTCTCTGCCCCGGCCCAGGCTGCCCTTGACATCCCTCCCATCCTCCCTCTCCCGGAATCCTCTCCCTTTCCTCCTCCTCAACAACCCTCGCACCTTCTCCCCTCACGTCCTTCCTCACTAACCCAAGCCAGGCTCCCCCAGGGCCCTGTCCGGTGTGCCCTGCAGGCCAGGCCTGACACCTCCCCTGTCACACAGGTTGGAAGGGACCTCCGGGGATCGCCTGGTCCAGCCCGGCTCCAGCAGGGACACGTGCTCCCGCAGGCCGGCTCTCCCACCGCCTTTGCCTCCTCCCTGCCAAAGGCGGCCAGGCCCCTCGTCCCTGCCGCCCTCCCCCTGCTCCCTGCCCGGCTCCTCTCCTGTCTCTGCCCCACCGTGTCCGCCTGCCCTGACCCTTCCCGCCCCCGCTCTGCTCTGCCCCCCCACCGGCCTCCCCCATGTCCCCCCTGCCCTTCCTCCGCTCTGCCACCTCATGTCCCTCCTGCCCTTCTCCCCCATGTCCCCCCCGTCCGCGTCCTGCCCACCCCCCATGTCCTTCCCGTCCCTCCGGTCTCCTCCACCGGAGTCCCCCGACCCACCAGGTAGAGGGTGCCGTAGATGCGCAGCGACTCGGTGAGGGCGCCGTGCGTGACGTGCAGCACGGCCCACGAGCAGCGCGGGTGCCAGGTGTGCCCGATCTCGTAGCAGCTGTGGGGGATGGACTTGCTCAGCGCCGCCATCTTGACGTGTGTGCTGCGGGGGGGCGCGCGCGCTCCCGCCGCGTCACGGCCGATGCGGGAGAAAGGTCGCGCGGGGCGGGGAGCGCGCGCCCGCGCCCGCCGCGTCACGGCCGATGCGGGAGAAAGGTCGCGCGGGGCGGGGAGCGCGCGCCCGCGGGGTTACTCGCGGGCAACCCCCCCCACTCCCCCTCCCCTCTGCGCCTCGCGTGACGCGCGCAGCCAATCCGCTGCGGCGGGGGGCGGGCACGCGGGCTGCCGGGAGCGCTCCCGGCGGCCGTTGGAGCCGTTAGAGCCGTTGGAGCCGCCGCCGGTGCGCCGTTTTTTTCAGCGCCGCCCTCGCTCATCCCCGTTAGCAGATGGCGCTTCCGCCGCGCGTAGCTCGCGGCCCTTCCTGCGCGTTTCGATCCCTCCCGCCGCCGCTGGCGGAGCGGCGCGCCGAGCTAACGGTGCGGGGCGGCCGGAGCGGCCCCCGTGAGCGCCGGGGACGCGGGCGCGAAGGGCCCGAGCGCCGCCGGACGCCGAGCTAGGGGCTCCGAGGCGGGAGGAGGTGGCGCGGCCGCCGCCGAGAGCTGCCCCCGGCTCTGTCGCCCCGTGTCACTCACAGCCGGGAAGGGCAGCCAAGTGCAAGGAGGGCTTGTGGGGGCAGCGCCTCGGTGATGCACCTCAGGGCACCCGCAGCTTGTGAACAGCGTGGCCTCTGTGTAGCACACAGACCTTCTCGCACAGTGGAGCTGAAAAAAGGGGCAGAGAAAATGGTCAAGGAGGTGGGAAAAGCTGCTCTATGAAGAGAAGCTAGACAAGTGGATTCTCTCTGGTTTGGAGAGAAGCTGGGGGGGATGTGGTTGCTTGCAAAATTGTGAAGGCAGTGATGGAATTGCATGGTTATTGTTGAGCTGCTCTCAAGGAGCCAGTTGCAAAACTGGCATTGGGATCCAGTTTGACGTATGAGTCCAAAAGTGCCTGGACCTACAATTTTACATTACAATTCTTTTGAGTTACAGTTTACAAGCGCTCAGTTCAGAAGGAGTGAATCTGCTCTCTGCAGAAGTCCAGCCAGTTATTTCAAGAACTCCCCTAGAGACAGATTTATCCCCCAAGACAAATAAGAAGCAAAGCAAATGATCATCGAACTACCCTGTAAACAGGAGCTTGGAATAGTTCCTTCACTTTACAGAATGCCTCCAAGTTCTTCTCCTAGAGATGCTATAGCTGATGTTGCAGAATTCCGTTAGGGAGTACGCTGGGCAGCAAAGGCAGCACTTGCTGAGATACGGATTCTGGCTCTTGTGTCTGCATGTTTTGGATTTTAGACTGTTCTGGGCTTAGAGCTCACTTCTTCCCTTGTGCTTGTGGGCAGGGAGCTATGGCAAGCACAGTGCTAGTGCATGAGCTAATGATATTGCTTCTGACACACATTTCTACACACAGTCCTAGGAGGACATGTCTTGGACTGTGTGGTGAGTTAAAATGCCTAGCGATAAAGGAGGACCCCAGCAAAGATTCTGTTCAATGCTCCAGCTGCCCTGATTTGACTGAATAGTGTGCTCGGAGATGGAGACTTTCAGATCTGTGTTGCTGGGCCAGCCAGGCGAGCCCGACTGAGCACCAGTGAAGAAGGTGACACAGACCTGACCTTCCTGCAGGCACTGGGCCTGGGGTGCTGCAAGGCCCTATTCTGGGAAGAAACCGCAGGGCAAAGCAGCACAAGATTGCAGCTGGTAACCCATTGGACGCCCTCCCAGGGTACTGTGCCATGGAAGAAACTCTCTTGATTGGAACTGGGATAAATCAATTTCAGAGTAGGACAGAGTTGCTTGAACCTAAGAAAATGTTGAGCACCTTTTACCCCCTTAACTTTCTCAGATTTTTCAGGAGCTGACTTGGTCACATGAATAAGGCTGTGTCCTGGGAACAGCAGGCCACATAGCAGGCCAGGAATCAGTTCCTTGGTGTTGGGCCAGTGTGGTTTACGCTGTTCAGTACTAACCAGTTTACCTTGGAGAGAGTCACTCAGAACAGTCCCAAAAACCAAGCCAGAGAGTGAGCTAACACTGCACAGTGTGTGTGACTGGGCAGCCGTGTGCTCAAGGTTGTTTCCTGCTCCCCTCTTAGACCGACAGATAGACTCAGATATTCTCTGAATAACAATTCAGGCTGACAGAAAGTTCCAAGATAAACGTGAGCCTCATTAAGCCAAGACAGCTACGATATCCCAGTTCCTGTAGCTCATGCCACAGAAAGGAGTGATGTGGCCAACATCTCTGACTGCATTAGACAATCCCGTTACCTTACAGCTGGGATCAAGACTCCCGAATGCAGCTTGCAGCACAAGTCCCTGGTGAACCTGAAATTTGGACTTTTCRATCTCAAGCAAGAGCCTGTAGCTGTCTCAGCACCGCAGTCCACCAGCTTGCACTGATGAGAACCRCTGAAATGGGGGATCAGATGCCTTTAGGGGCAGGTGCTGAATGGAGAAGTGCCTGTTTTTCCAGGTTTCAGTGGATCTGTCAATCTCAGCAGTCTCTGCTAATATCTTCAGCATCTGCCAAATCTGATATCTGCAAGTGAGCTTACACATCTCTCAACCTGTGCTGGTAGCTGGAGGTGAGAAGAATTCTGTGTTCTCAGGGTGCAGGTGGCAGTGTTAGGAAGTTGGGAATCCAAGGTAGAGTATATAGCTAATTGGAAGAAAAAAAAAAAAAAAAAAAAAAAAAAAAAAAAAAAAAGAGGCACTGGAAATAGGACAAACAAGGAACTTCACGTTTTGCATTCCAGCTGCATTGGGATCTGGGAATTCTTCTTTCTAAGCATCTTTAAATATCATATCAATCTGGAAACATTTTAACTTGGAAAAAAAAAAAAGCAATGCTTTGCCCTCTGTGATTTCAAACATACTGCTTTCAAACTTGTGTGCTTCTTCTGCCATGTGTTTGTTTTCTCCCTTGGGATAGGTGATCCAACCTTTCATGGCTACTCACGCTGCTCTARGTGCCTGATCTGCGCTTCTGGCAGTAACCCTTGTCTGGTAAGAACTGCGCTTTCCCGCAGAATGTTTCTGCTATCACTTCTTTCCCTTCTTTGCTCACTCTTTCTTTCTTACTGCTTTTCTCCTCTATTCTCTTACCATCTGTATTTTTTTAAAATTGTATGAAATCATGACAGAAAGTTGTTAGGGATCTAATTAATCCTTGTTTTTATTCTGCACAGGTATTGTGTGTGTGCACAGCACCTTATACTTCCTTCAGTAAACTGCATAGTAACTTAAAGATGTTTCTAAGCTTTGTGTTGTCCAGGGAATTGTTAGAATGTGGCCAGGGAATCTATTTAAAAAATGCACTTTTAAACCTTTGATAAGGCCTGGAGTTTTATACCTTTACAGATGTGTCTCAGGATAGCCAACTTCACCCATCCTCATTTCTTCTCAAGATCAGGGAGTAATAGCAAGTTCAGCACATTATTTGCTTTACAGAAGTAAATCACAAGGTTACAGCACAGTTTCCCCTTGTGTTTATCCCTGCTGTTTGAAAAGGCTGTCTAGAATGGCAGTYAATGGCCATAAACTGAGCTGTTTGATTCTTTAGTGATTTGTTTTGTCTTGCTGGTTTTATTTTTATTCAAGCAAAGAGGGACCCTTTAGCAACTACATTATATGAAGAAGGATTTTTTTTAATGGCTTACAGTGATGAATGTTACTAGTTCTTTTATTTCTTTTTTTAATAGGGAATGATCTTAAAATACCCTTATGTTTGCTGGTATTACAAGGTAAGAGAATTAACTGGAAGGTTTCCCATTTTCCAGATATAATAATTTCCAAAATAAATATGGGATGAGATTTGGGATAATGCCATGTGAACATTTTGATTCGCACAGTAATATTCTCCAGTTTATAAAATCTGGCTTTTTTCCAGGAATAAATTTTGTCAGCTTTCTTAGAGAAGTACCAAGGCTTACACCAAAGAAACCAACGCTCACCACGTTGATTTTGCAACCTCGACTAGCRCATGACAAGCTAAGCCATATTCAGGCTATTGGCTTCAGTGAATGTGTGCCTTGCCTGTATTTGGCCTATGGTGCTGTTTTTTCTGGAGATAGGGAGTTATTTTTGTAAATTAGGTGATAGAACTGTCCATTAAAGGCTAAATTAAGCTTCTGGATGCAACACTAGGAAAAGGAGCAAGGAGCAGTACGTGGACACACCATCCCAAGAGCAGCCCTGGGCAGGAACTGTGATCCAGATGAAGCAGCTGTTTCTCCGTTTCTTTCTTGCATTTCACGTAGATAAATTCTGCACCTCTGCAAAAATGCAAGATCACATCTTACATGATACTGATATGTCAGCCTACTGCCATGCCCTTGCMCACATAATCAAGGCCAGTTCTCTACCTTGATTTAACTGAAACCTCCACATCTACCTATATACCAGCACCAGGGAATAAAATCTTTTATGGTGGAAAATATGTGTGCTGCCAAAATGTATGTCTACCYACCTTCCCTGCAACTGCAGTGCTGCTTCTGCAACCCGTGTGCTTCTTCCCCCATTGACCCTTCTTGGCGCTCCCCTCCGCTGAGCAGTCAGAAGCGACCTGTCCATGTAGCTGATGAAGGCTTCAGCACCTTCATCTCCCAGGGCCTGGTGGGGGCAGCAGCCCCCGCCCATGTGGACAGGGTTCCCCTTTCTGACTGCCCGCCTATGGCCTGGATTTGCTCTCTGCCCCAGCCTTGCCTCCAGCATAGCCCCCACAGCTCAGGACTCTGCCTGTGCTTCTCTTGTCTGCTCTGCCTACCTGTTAATTCACTCTCCAGCTACTTCAGCMCCTCTGGAATGAGTTCTGAGACAAACGCACTACAGCAGGGGCTGGCTCTGAGTCCAGTCATTGCTATTTGCCCTCAGCAGCAGCAATCGAATCCTGGCAGTTTTATCAGCAGAAGAACCATCGCTGCTTTCCAAAGCAAGGGAGAAAAAAGGCAGGACTGCACGAGAAAGTCCCCAAATGAGAGTC